AAGATATATTAATTTTTTCACACAACCAAACCAATTCAAAATAACTAGATTCACCCAAAAATAAAAAGGTATGAAATTTTTCACACCACCAGCACAAAATCATGTATAGTGTGATCACATAATACGACCGCATTGGGTGGTATTACATGATTATTTGGTGTGGCCTCGTGTGGTTTCGTGATGTGATCACATAATTCGCTTGAGTAGTGCAGTCTCATGGTGCAATCGTATGTTGTGATTCAATACAAAACTTATGTTATCACACCCTGCATGGATCGTGTGTTGTGGTTTTGTGATGTGATCACATAATGCGATTTTAATGCGATTTGGTAGTGTGGTCTCTTTTGTGGTTTCGTGGTGTGATCACATAATGCGATTGTGTAGTGCACTCTCGTGGTACAATCGCCCGGTGTGATTCAGTACAAAAAAATTGTTTGTACAGCCTGCATGGTGCCATCACGCATTACGATTGTGTGTTGCGGTTTTGTGATGTGATCAAATATGCAATTGGTTTTGGTTTAGTGTGCTCTCGTGTGGTTTCGTGGTGTGTAAATTTGTTAAACTAAACGAGCCGCTTGTGAGCTCGACTTGTTAAGACTCGAACTTAGCTCAACTCGTTTGATAAATGAGTTGAACTCAAACTCGTTTAATGTTCGTTTGGTTAACGAGTCGAGCTCAATTCGGCTCGATGAGTTTTAAAAATATAATTTTTTTGTAATTTTCTATAGTTCAACTCATTAAAACTCAATTTCAGCTCGTTAAGGCTCGAGCTCGATTCGTTACTATTGATAAACTAGTCGAGCTCGAGCTAGAGCTCGATTATGAGCTCGTTAAGGACTCGTTACTATTTAATTTTGGGCCGAGTGGTAAGATTATGGCATGCGCCATCTCCAGTTATTTTCAACTACAAACCACTTATTGACATTGTATTGGTGAACATATCAACAATCACCTATTTCAATTGAGCCCCAAACCTGAAAGAGGTGAACATCTAATCAATTTAATGGCAGTTCAGAATGCAGAGTTCTTGAAGCGCTCATCTTTGAACGATTTCTAATGACAAATGCCCTTCTACTCGATCATCAGAGTATTTACCCCCTATATTTATTTACAGCAGTAAAAACGAATTCTACTCTAAATCCATCTGCATGTTACAAGGAAACTATATTCTAAGACGCATCCAATTGAATGAAGAACAAAGGTTAACACCACCTTCATAGAACACTTGAAGGTAAACTTGAGCTGACTAGCCGATTTTATTTTGCCACATCTATATTAAAAACAAAAGGGTGCCATCTTTACAGAAATTCACCATCATCATGAAACGGGCAAACCAATCTCTAAATGAAAGCTCAAATGATCTGGATGTTAAGGTTTCTTTGGCATGAATGTACGAGGAAGAATGGAGTTTGCAAGCTCGTCATTCAGCTTCACAGGAAGAGGTGGCATTTGTTTCATTATTTCCGGCAAGTCGCTTAAGCTGTCATTCAACATTTCCCGGTAAGGATGTAGAAAACCAGATGTTGACTATGTACAAAACCGTTAAAATGAGTAAATTGGAAAATATGATCTCTATATAGAACACAGAGGAAAGTCTGTTGAGTTCGACTAAGTTCGTTTGTTTGCTGACAAAAAAGAAATGCAACATCGAGAACAGGAAAGTTTGTAAAGATATCCTGAAGTTTTTCCGTGGCTGCTAAACTTGGAAGTGCCTAACCAAATGTTAGTTCTCCTAAATGGACTCCTGACGAATTGGATTTTATATGCAATCAAAGGAAATTTAATACCCAAATGAGTGATTGCAGATAAAAATTTTCCAGCTTATTCACTATTCACCCATTATCAGATTTTCTCTAAAAGTCCCACTACACATTTATTTGAAGAAAAAAATCATTATCACACATTACCTAAGCAAATTTACGATACTCGCTCAGATATTCCAACTATCAACCATGTCCCATCATTTTTTAACAATTTTTATACCATCTCAAGTTTAATCACTAATTTTCATCTAACATATACAACTACACTAAAAAAATTCATCATACTTATCTAACAATTTTTTTTTTTTAATCCCTACTCTTTACCAGAAAGAAAATTTTCATACGAGCGTATATCCAGCTGCACCCACAAAATTTTCGACTACACTTAGTAAATATGCAAGGAACTCTATGGATGTAGAAATTCCATTCAAAAGGTTAATCCTGCTTAAAAAGAGATGCTTAGCAACGTCAAAATAAAAATATGGGTAGAGTATCCTGAACTTACTCGTTTAACAGTGAAACTATGTTATTCCGAGCTTGACAGAAAAGATTGATGTTCTCATGAATCTGCACATCAAACAACGGATATGGTGTTACCAAAATAAGTCATTGTTCAAAAATAAACTGTGTCATGTTCTGCAGTTTGTAAATTTACTTGACCCTAAGGTGTACATTACAATGTTTATAACTGAATATGTTGCTTAAGTAGTTTGCAAAGTCAACCAATTGAGACCAACACCAAACTGTGATCTGGTACTAACTAACCCTAATGAATATTCATCTGCCAATACTAGCGTGCAAATTGAGATTAAGAAGTTGCAGTCCACTAAGAGCCAGGCTTCATATTTAGCCAAGCATGCACCAATAAATAGAATTGATGGAAATCCATATAAACTTAATCCCTGAACTTGCATATTTGAACCACACAGATTCATCAAGAACTTAAGTAGAACGACGCTGCAAGTACCTTGCAAGCAGAAAAATTGGTGGAAATTTGATCCAAGGCCTGAGCATTTTGCTCAAGAAGCTGTCCAGCAGCTCCACCAATAGCTGAAATACATGAATATATGATTGCTTATGATACAAAGGTCATATCTGATATAAATAGAACAAGAACACAAGAATCAAGGATCATAATATTCAAGTGCCTGCTTTCCAATTACAAGCAAGCTGAAGCTCTATTATTTTCTCAGCTGACTTGAACTTTGTCATGCACCCGATATATGGAGAATGAGCTTGTAGAGAATTATATTCGGTTAATATCTTAGGTACTTATTTTATATTAGGAAATGGGCTTGGGCCTTTATCATTGTTAGTAGGTTATTATCACAGTTAATAGATTAATGAATTAGTAATAGGTATCTATAAATAGGGGATGGTAACAAAAGAATGTAACAAGAAAAATATCACAAAAAATTCTATTCTCTCTCCTCCCTCATGTTTTTTTCTCCTTCTTCTCCCCAAATTTCTTCTCTCTCCCTCCCCAAAATTCCTGCAACTTTCTTCCTCCAAACTAAAACCAGAAAAATACAAAAAATTACATAAAATTTCCAGAAAAAAAGCAAGTTCCTAACAAACTTTTTCTGACAAATGTTGAGCTTTGAAAATAAATAAATAAATAAAAAAAAAAACTGAATTTTAAGATAGCATGCAAATCTAGCCAATACATTTATCCATGAAAGAGAAACCAATGGCAAAGCAAGACCGAACATGTCAAGTGGGTGTACAACAAATAATTCTTATTTTATATGTCCAACTGTACTATTTACAATTCAAAAACAACTTTGACTAACCGAAAGATCTCTATGAATGAAAATCATTTTGCTCCTCCGCGAAAAAACAATGAGCTGATAAGGTTAATCACCATAATCTTAAGAGTAACCCTTCTAATTACAGCTAAATATAATAGGTGATAAAAATTAAATTATAGTCTAAAGATAAAAACATTTAAACCTGGATTAAAGATTTCAGACACTTCAGATTGGCACTATCTTGAGAAACGCATGCATCTTTATAGTTATACACCTGACTGAAGCAATTCCTCAAAAAGGGAAATGAGCTCTGAAACTTCTCAGCAACTAACATATTGGAAGTGAAGTCCAGAAGCTACTCAAAGCCTGATTCTAAACCACGATATCCTTTTGATATCTGACTAAAGAAAAGATTACAGATCCCAAGGAGTTTGCTAATAGGAAAAGGGTATTATGCCAACCAAAATCTGATTATGGCCTCAGAAAACTTTTACCCACTTCCTCATGATTACAGCACTAGGTCTCTATTAGCGCCATTTGTTACCATAGATGAAATAGCAATTAATTGAAAACACAAGCAATCGGATGCTACTTATACTGAGAGAAGGGAAAAGGAGATAGAAAATTTACATAGTTGGTGAAAGAAAGAGTATGCTGACCTTTAAATGAGATTCCATCATTACTGTCCATTGACATCGTCGACTGGGTATAGGGAGGGCCGTTGGAGCGGTTTGCAACTTGAGAAGATTTTGGCAATGAATCTGTAACTTTTTCCTGAAAAACCAGGAGAATAGAAAACTATTCAGTCAGAATCACTGGCATGAAATTAACTAAGCCAAAGCCACAAGGTAAACAGTAAACAGTTAAAAAATATTAGAAAAAACTATGAGTGAAGCCAAAACTTGAAGACATACACCAACAAGCAACAATTTATATCAACTATAAGTGATCCACTTGGAAAATGAATAACACTTACATGCATTTGCAAAATCTCCATAGTTTCCTGTAGCCCGCAATTGCACAGGGAAAGAGCATAGCAAGCAATGACGAAACTGAAAATTATTAACACAAAATATACTGCATACCTTCTTGTCTTTATTCTTTCTTGAATTGTTCTCATCTTTCCTCCTCTTTCCGTTCTCCTTCTTCTGCAAACAGTAACAATTCAAATCCGGATTTTATGGAATTAGCAGAAAGTAAAAATAGTGGACTAGCTGAATCCAATTACTTCCACTTTTGTTCTTCTAGACAATCAATATCATATATTGTGGTGAAATTGAACAATAGAGATTCTTATCCATAGCACCTTTATGTCCTTTTTGTATTCTTCCCTGAAATTAGACCATTATCAGGTCATTAGTGAAAGAATCCACTCCCAATATTCTAGATCATCTATGTCAGTTATATACCCAAATAAATCATAATCATCACAGCTTTCCGTGACCATAAGTTCAACCAATGAACCTTTGCCGGACAAAGTTCCCATAGTTTCCGACAAGTGAGCATTTATATTTCCTTCCAGAACCGTGTATCCTAATTCTGGAGGAAAAAACAATGTCTTCCTTCTAAATAAAAATACACACCATCAACACAATTTGACATGACAGAGTGCTGACAAGTTTTTCCTTGATTAATTACTGGAACGTCTGGCTCATAAGTAAAAAAAAAAATACTCATTTTTTCTAAAAGAACGTGCACCTTGATGATCTTCAAATAGCTAAAACATTAATAACAATGAAAGAAAATAAGTTCACATATAATATGGGAGCACTGAACTAATTCCATACTCCTCCCCTCCCAAGCCCTCAAGAAGGATATAAATCATGGAATAAAATATTCTTTAGCATATCAAACATGACCTTTCTTTGATTCTCCCCCTTTCCGCTCTTTGCTCAGCCGAATCTTTTGTACAAGATTCAGCCTACCAAAAATTAGCATTGAAGAATAGTTATAATCTTTGTACCCCAAGACCGGTTATAATATACCATTTATTTAATGATATTGGAGATCAATACACTTATCCTGAAGAACTCAATGCAATACATCCCAACAAAGGGCAGAACTCGTGAAAGTACCCAAGAAAAAGGCTCACATTCATCCATCTGCACCGTAATGCAACATCCCGGACAGTTTTATCGCTTAACGCCTGAGCAATTTTAGCATAACGAACAACAGTGGATTCTGAGGCATACCTGCAAACACAAGCCGACACATGGATTGAACTTCATGAAGATTGCAGTAACAAGTCGAGCATAAAAGGACCTCCATAAAGATATGCAGTAAACAAGTCGACATCAATCAAGAGCATAAAATAAACTTCAAATAAATTTGCAGTAAATCTGCCAATGTCAATTCAATATGCAAATGGTTAATATTAACAAAAAGGGTCAACTTAGTATTCCCTGAATGGTGTAGCTAAGGATTAGACTAAGAAGTCTTCGGCTCAAGTTTTCATTTAAAGAAGTATACATAGCTCAAGATGACACTTAAATAATCTCTAAACTATAAGCATGAATAGAAAAGTGATATTAGAGGGCAAGAAAAGTGACTCCGTCAACACTTAAGGATGGTTTTCAGAATTCCACAGTCGAAAACAATAGTCCTTCATTGCATAAACTTAATAAGAAAATGGAAAAAAATACATGACTCAACAGTCATTTTGTTAATCTTTTATTTTTCTTTTAACAAATTACTACGGCAGGAACAGAGAGATCCTGAAACTCAGTGAGGTCAGTCCTTATTGCCAGTTAGTTTATGGTATTTAAAACTCGAATTGTTTGTCATTATCCACCTGTCTGTGGTATGAGACCTTTTTAAGCTGACTAGTATTCCGGCCACAGATTGACAAGCACTTAAACTTATCTTTCTCAGGAGTCAGCGCTCAAGTTCAAACTATAGGAGATACAAATAGCAAATACAAGAATGCTAACCCACCGCCACAAAAACAAACATAACAGAAAAAGGGAACCAATAGAATACCTGGCATCATCTTCACTCCATTAACCCAATATCTAAAAGTTTAATTAAATCTCATAACCCGCAAAAAATAGTGGCACCACAGGGATACAAACAGGAAAACACCTAAAAGGTCCACAATCTCATCCGGGAATGAGAAAGATACATAAGTGTTACTGGAAACACACCAAAACAAACCAGAATAGACCTAGTTCACGGCCCTAAATCCAGAGATTATTCAGTGACCAGGAAACACACTACGAAATACAGACAAAATCATGTAAAAACGCTATTATATTGAATTCAAAAAACAAAAATACTATCAAGAAAGATGAACAGGGAGCTGACTTTGCCAGCAAATCTTCGAGTATAGACTGCTCCTCCTGCGTCCAATCCAGCGACAGGCCCGGATTGTGGCGAAGGGCCGCCGGTGCGGGTCCCGCTACGAGATTGTCCGCCGCGCCGCCGCCGGTTCCGTTCCCATTCTCTCCACCGCCGCCGTTGCTCTTCCCGCCACTACTATTGCCGTTGGCGTTGCTGTGGCCGCCTGACGACGGGCTGGCACTCGCAACCATCGGAAAAAATCAAAGCAACGGAAGCAAAATATCTGAATTGGATAAGATTTCAATTGCGTTTTCTTAACAAAAAATAAAAAATAAATTATATTCAAATCCAAAATGTCTTCGCCCAAAAGGTGAATTATGATGATGAAAAACGTGGATTAATTAATATATTAAGATATTAATTAATTTAAAAAAAAACTGGGGTTATTGTTTACCAACTAGTACAGTACCCGTGCGATGCACGTAGCTTTGTTATTTCCGTCCTTTTTAAAAGGTAATTTTGTATTTATATTCAAATTATATAATAAAGCATCGATCATTGATTATAATTAAACTTAACAAATGTTTTTTATAAGATACGTTTAATTATTTATATTAATCATGTTGAGCTTGTAAAATATGAATGTTTTTTAAAAATGTGGGCTTCAACAATTTCATATCGGCCAAATTTATAATGTTGGCTTCGACGGTTTAGATTATGCTGAACAAAGTATAAATAGTGAAATTATCGGACCAATGGCTTCATTTCTTTCTTCATTTTTCGCCGCTTCCAGTTTCTTCTTTCGTCTTTTTTCATCGTTCTTCTTCCAACTTTTTCGTTCTAACACTGAGGGTCTTATAAATATATATATTTTTTTAGTTTTCATTTAATCGATGCTTTAAATTAGATTTAGGTGTTTTGCACGAAACAAAATATGAATTGTTCAATTTGAGGGTTTTTATTTTCGATTTTTGTAGTTTTATGTTTGAAACTTTTGGTTTTTACAATTAATCAAAAGAATCCTTCGAATTTGAGTTTGCGCCTGTAGATTTTGTTAATTTTAGTTGTTTTACTCGAAAAAGAAATGTGGATTTTTTAATTTGAAGGTTTTTATCTTCGATTTTTGTACTTTTATGTTCGGATTTTTTGGGTGTTTACGATTAGTCAAAAGAACTCTTAGAATTTGAGTGTGTGTCGGTAAATTTGTTATTTTTTTATCGGTAAAATTATTTTATTACACAAAATTTTTTGGCGTCCAAATGATTTTTTTTTTAAACTCAACTCGGCTGAAAACAAACAAATCTAACAATTAATTATGTGATATCATTGATTTTGATGAATTGCACACAATTTATGGGTTATGAACCTGCAAATTTTTTTTGCCCAAATTAATGAATGTTGATATCAATTAATTATAAAAAAGAATGGTATTGAAATAAAACTCAAATTTTTAAAAGTATTATTTGTACCAAAATTGAGCAATTTGGTTACCAAAACTAAGTATCCATGATTGAAGGCATATTTAAATATTTCTCTTTTAATAAATAAAAAATAAAAACAAAACTTGCCCGAAATGGTATGCAATTAATGTTGTCAGATTTTTTTGCTTACTATATTTGGTAATAGTAATTTTTATTATATATATATAGATATAGATTCAACTAAAAGAACAATAAAAACTCAAATTTAACTAACTTTAACCCAACTCCACTGTCCTCAATATTATCAATATAATAAAATAATATCAAACAATCATTCTTACACATCACATCAACTTTAATTCACTATTCCTTCACTCACATATTTTTAATTAACCATCACTTTCAATCATTTTTCTCTTACTTTACATCAAATTAAATTTAATTATTTTATTTAAATATTATTTTAATATATCTACTAACAATTAATCATATCAGCTTTTTTCAAAATTAATTATAGTTAAAAGACAAACCAAATAAAAACTAATTGAATCCATAAAAAATCATCACATGGACGGATGTATACTTTAGGGGGGCCATGGTCCCCCCAAAATTTGTAAATTTTAGTGTGTGTATATATATATAATAAGTATATCATTTTTCACATAAACTTACACAATTATATTAAAATTGTAATCGTATTTCTTTTTCTACTAATAATTCAACAACAATTATACTCTTTTTACACTTTTGTATAACATTTTTTCTAATTTGAATAATAATTTTTTTTTTTTTTTCCGAAACGATAGAGATTTTATATAATACGCACAAAAGTGCAAAAAGCCAGCCACCAGCTGAATACAAACAGCTAACAGCTGAATACAAGCAGCCAACAGCTGAAAAAGTGAGAGGACAGGTCAACCGACCGCCTAGAAATTGAATGTATAGTAAATATGTGAAAAAAAAAAATTGGTAATTTTTTTTTAAAAATAATATCATATATGATATGCTTGGAAAAAAAAAAAGAAAAAATCTCAACTCAACTTGTATTCAAAAGCTTTGTTGTCGATCTCGGTCAGATGTTGCACCTGGGGCCTTCTCGGCTTCCGGTTAAACACATGCATAATTATTACACATTGAGTCGCAATGTTTGACCAATACAACTAATAAATTGACTTTTTTAATTTCAATTTTAAAAGATGACTGCCTATTTTCAGTTTTTTTTTTTTTTAAATTACTAATAAAAGTATAAACAAAAATTTTTAGCGGAATTTCAATTATTATTATTTTTTTTGTAATAATTGAGTGTTCATTAATTAAAGATTCCAAGCACTCCCCACTTCCTCATGTTAATTATTAATTCAAGGTGGCAAATTGTGATTTAATTATTAAATCAAGTTGGTAATTTGTACTGAAATCGCGTGAAGAGCCTGACATAAACTCTCACCACAATTTCCTCACCATTTCCTCTTATTAATTTATTAAAACAAGTTGGATAATTTGCAGCTGGAAACGCGTGGAGTCTGCCAACTTGCTCAGAAACCCATCTATAAATATGGGACTTCTCAACTCAGCAGAGATGTACCGAACAGAAGAAAATAATAGATAGGAAGAAGGGGAGAAAGAAAACAAAGAGAGATTGAAAAAATATTCAGTCCAAAATAATTTTTAGAGGAATAAAAATATCAGAGAGAAAAATATAGAAATATTTATTTGATATCAAAATAACAAAAGAGAGATATTTTATTCCTATTTTTAAGTGCTCAATTCTCTACTCTGTTCCGGTTCGCTGGAGCTCGTAAATCTGGTGTGCTACAGATTTAGAGACGTTTGCCGTTGTATTTTGGGGAAGTTATGCCTGAACCGTTAGCAACACACGGGACGTATTCTTCTTGCGAAAAGAGTTTTACTTGCCTCGGCTTTAATCTTTCCATTTTTTAGGTTTTAAATTATTTTTCAGTTGTAATTTATTTTTCAGTTCAATTGTAATTTTCAATTTTTTTAGATAATTTGTAAGAACTGAAAAATACATATCAGTTTGTAGGATTCCCGTGTATTTTGACACCCGAATTCTAACAATCGCAAGAAGAATATCTCAACCTACTGGACTGATGGCTTCCACCGGAAATGGTTCCAACATTCAGCATCTAATCAATCATGTATCTGTTGTCCATGTTCCTACTTAGAAGCCCGAAAAATTCAATGGGCTTGATTTTAAAAGGTGGCAATAAAAGATGCATTTTTATCATACCACTTTGGGTTTGGTGAAATACCTGAAGGACGAACCCCCGGTCATTGCTGAAAATAAAACCAATGTTGAACTACGCACTGCGTATGAGGCTTGGGGGCAAGGGTGATTACCTTTGCCGTAACTATATCCTGAATGGACTTAGTAATGACTTGTACAACGTGTACAGCTCGGTTGGATCTGCCAAAGAGCTTTGGGCTGCTTTGGAGAAGAAGTACAAGACTAAGGATGTTGGGGCAAAGAAATTTGTCGTCGGCAAGTTTCTTGATTTCAAGATGGTCGACTCGAACCGTCGTGTCTCAAGTGCAAGAGTTTCAACTTATCTTGCACGATATCCATGCAGAGGGAATGTCTCTGAGCGAGTCATTCCAAGTTGCGGCTGTGATTGAAAAGCTGCCGCCGGGTTGGAAAGACTTCAAGAACTACCTCAAACATAAGAGGAAGGAAATGAGTCTTGAAGACCTAGTTGTTCGCCTTCGTATTGAGGAGGACAACCGTAATTCATCTGAAAAAGCTCAGATGATGGAGGTTCGTGCTAACTTGGTGGAGCAAGAAAAATCGAGCAAGAGAAAGTCCCTTGACAAAAGGAAGCAGCCAGACAAGGTTTGGAAGTTTACCGGCACTTGCTATAACTATGGAAAACCGAACCATATGGCGAAAGACTGCAAGTGGTCAAAGAAGGTTGGGCCAAAGAAAGGTAAACCGAGTGCCCTTGTGGCTGAACACGGCTCTGTGCCGGGTGAACTGACCGACTTTGATATGTTGGCAGTGGTGTTTGAAGCCAATATGGTGGATAACCCAAGGGAGTGGTACATCGATACTGGTGCCACTCGTCATGTGTGTTCCGATAAGGAGGTGTTCTCTGAATAAACTCCTACTAAGAGTCGAAAACTTTACATGGCAAACTCCTCCATGACTGATGTGACTGGAGTGGGCACTGAAGCTGACTTCTGGAAAGGAGTTGAAGCTTAAGATTGTTCTGCATGTCCCAGACATCCGCAAGAATTTGGTCTCCGGATCTCTTCTTGTTGAGCATGAATTTAGGCTAGTGTTTGATGCTAAGAAGTTTGTTCTTAGCAAGTTTGGAACATTTCTTGGTCGTGGATATCTCGACAAGGGTTTGTTCAAAATGAATGTAATGGCCAAGAGCCGTGTAACCGTTGATAATGAAAAGCCTATTTTTGTTTATACCGTTGAATGCTCTGATTTATGGCATCTTAGATTAGGACATGTAAATCTAAATGCAATTAAACGTTTGATGAATTTAATTAGTTCCTAATTCTAAATTTGAGACAAATACAAAATGTGAAATTTATATTGAAGCAAAAATGGCTAAGTTGTCTTTTCACTCGGTGGAAAGGAGTAACGAACCATTAGGCTTGATCCATACTGATGTATGTGATATGAAAAGTGCGCAAACAAGAACTCGTAAAAAGTATTTTATTACTTTTATCGATGATTGCACAAGGTTTTGCTACTTATATTTGTTAAGCAGCAAAGATGAGGCTGTGGAAGCGTTTAAAATCTATAAGACCGAAGTTGAAAATCAACTCGGCAAAAGGATTAAAATAATCCGAAGTGATAGGGGTGGGGAGTATGTAGCTCATTTTGAACAAATATGTTCCGAATATGGCATAATTCATCAAACGATTGCCCCTTATTCTCCACAGTCAAACGGTGTTGCTGAACGCAAGAACCGTACGTTAAAAGAAATGATGAATGCCATGTTGATAAATTCAGGATTACCCCAAAACATGTGGGAGGAAGCTGTTTTAATGGCAAATCATATTCTGAATAAAATACCACCTAAAGGAAAAGATGAGACTCCTTACGAAATGTGGAAAAATCGTAAGCCGTCTTATAAATACCTGAAAGTGTGGGGGTGTTTGGCTAAGGATTCAGTACCAGAACCCAAACAAATGAGAATCGGACCAAAGACGGTCGATTGTGTATTTATTGGATATGCATACAATAGTACAACATATAGATTTCTGGTTCATAAATCAGAAAATCCAGAGGTATCTGTTGGTACTAAAATTGAGTCGAGGACTGCTATATTCTTTGAGAATATTTTTCCTTTTAAGGAAAGGGCAAAATCTAGTTCTAATAAACGAACGTATGAATCTACTAGTGGTTCTGTACCAGATGGTACTGATGAAGAACCGAGACGTAGTAAAAGGGTAAAACGGCAAAAACGTTTGGACCTGATTTTATTACATACATGTTGGACGATGAACCGAGTTCCCTTAAGGAAGCTCTGTCCAGCCCAGATGGACCACTCTGGGAAGAAGCTGTAAATAGCGAAATCGAGTCCATTATGCAAAATCATACTTGGGAGTTGGTTGATCTCCCTGAGGGTTGTAAACCTTTAGGATGCAAATGGATCCTAAAGAAGAAATATAAAGCTAATGGATCGATTGATAAGTTTAAAGCACGATTGGTGGTCAAAGGCTTTAAACAAAAGGAAGGGTATGATTTCTTTGATACCTATTCACCTGTTACGCGTTTAGCGTCGATAAGAGTGCTTCTCTCGATTGCTGCTTTGCACAATCTTGAGATTCACCAAATGGATGTCAAAACGGCATTTTTGAATGGTGAATTAGAAGAAGAAATATACATGGAACAACCTGAAGGGTTTGTTGCACCTGGACAAGAGAGAAATGTGTGTAGATTGATAAAATCCTTGTACGGACTGAAACAAGCTCCAAAACAATGGCATTTGAAATTTGATAACGTGATGTTGTCAAATGATTTCAAAATCAAAGAATGTGACAAATGTGTTTATGTCAAGAGTACAGGAAATACATTTGTGATTGTATGTCTATATGTAGACGATATGTTGATCATGGGGAGTAACCATGAAGTGATCATGGATACGAAAAGAATGTTGAAAAGAAATTTCGACATGAAAGATGTGAGTTTGGCTGATGTTATTCTTAGAATAAGAATTATCAGAACCCAAGATGGAATTGTCTTGTCACAATCTCATTATGTAGAGAAAGTCCTCAAGAAATTTGATGCCTATGACGGTGCACAGTCTAGGTGTAAGACGCCCCTTGATCTTAGTATAGATCTGGTAGCCAATAAAGGTCAACCAGTGGCTCAGTTGGAATATTCACGGATAATTGGGAGTCTGATGTACTTGACGAATTGTACACGACCAGACTTGGCCTATCCGGTGAATAAGTTGAGCAGATTTACAAGCAATCCCAGTCATGAGCACTGGAATTCCTTGAGAAGGGTACTTAAGTACTTGAGGTACACCCTTGAATACGTGCTAAAATACTCGAGATATCCAGCTGTACTTGAAGGGTACTGTGATGCAAGCTGGTTATCAGAATCGAGGGATTCTCACTCCACTAGCGGATATGTTTTATGTATTGGAGGAGGTGCAGTTTCGTGGAAATCCACAAAACAAATGTGTATAGCTCGGTTAACGATGGAATCGGAGTTCATCGCTTTTGATAAAGCTGGTGAAGAAGCCGAGTGGCTTAGAAATTTTTTATCCGATATTCCATGTTGGGATAAGACTTTGCCGCATGTGATGATTCACTATGATAGTCAAGTTGCTATAGGTAGGGCGCAAAGCAACTTGTATAACGGTAAGTCTAGACATATTCGTCGTAGACATAATACCGTACGCCAATTGATCACAAATGGTGTTATTTCCATTAACTATGTGAAGTCTAAGGAAAATTTGGTTGATCCTTTGACAAAAGGATTGAATAGAGATCAATTGGGAGTTTTGCTAGAGGGAATGAGTTTAAAAATCCACAATGTAAAGAATGATCATAGTGGTAACCCTACCATGATGAGTGGAGATCCCACGAACTTGGTTCAAAATGAAAACTAAGTTATGAAAATTCAGTTGAAGACTTGGAACATATGAATGTCCAAAGCTATTCCCTAGAGCGCTCCAAGTGCAAGATGACCTGTTGATTGTGGTGAGGGTAAGTTATGTTGACTTTTAATGAATCCCTAACCTTGTAAAGGTGGAGTATAATAGGATACTCTTGATAGGGAGGTCACCTATATAAGTGTGAAGTGTGGGCCGCTTCAAATGTAAACACTTACGAATCCATTGTGTTGTCCATGGCCGAAACGGACACAACGTTAGAACGAAATGGAGTAAAGACTCTATTGTGTAAATGTCATTGTCTCGGTGTACACTATGGAGGAATAATTCAAAGAATTATGTCCACTAGTTCGCCAGTGCATCCGATGATATTTACAAAGAAGGGTTCAAAGCCAAAAGCTACCTTCTCTGATGCAATAGAGTTTTGTGAGGATTGATCATAATATTATATATATTTAATTTACACTCATATGGGGGATTGTAATAATTGAGTGTTAATTAATTAAAGATTCCAACCACTCCCCACTTCCTCATGTTAATTATTAATTCAAGGTGGCAAATTGTGATTTAATTATTAAATCACGTTGGCAATTTGTACTGGAGTCGCGTGAAGAGCCTGACACAAACTCTCACCACAATTTCCTCACCATTTCCTCTTGTTAATTTATTAAAACAAGTTGGACAATTTGCAGCTAGAAACGTGTGGAGTCTGCCAACTTGCTTAGAAACCCATCTATAAATATGGGACTTCTCAACTCAGCAGAGATGTACTGAACAAAAGAAAAGAATAAAGAGGAAAAAGGGGAGAAAGAAAAGAAAGAGAGATTGAAAAAATATTCAGTCCAAAATAATTTTTAGAGGAATAAAAATATCAGAGAGAAAAATATAGAAATATTTATTTGATATCAAAATAACAAAAGAGAGATATTTTATTCCTATTTTTAAGTGTTCAATTATCGTCTCCGTTTTAGTTCGCCGGAGCTCGTAAATCTGGTGTACTACAGATTTAGAGACGTTTGCCGTTGTATCTTTGGGGAAGTTACGCCTGAACGACGTATTTTTTTTGCGGAAAGAGTTTTACTCGTCTCGGATTTAATCTTTCCATTTTTTAAGTTTTAATTTATTTTTCAGTTGTAATTTGTTTTTCAGTTCAATTGTAATTTTTAATTTTTTTAGATAATTTGTAAGAACTGAAAAATACATATCAGTTTGTAGGATTTCCATATATTTTGACACCCAAATTCTAATATTTTTTAGATAAATATCAAATATTTTATATAAATATAGATAAATAAATTTTTTAATAAACAACGTGTAATACATAAATGTTGGACTAGTAATAAAAAATAGCGCAAAATTGTGGCGGGAATTGAGATTGTACACGCTGCTTATTTCAACCCAAATTGCCGCCAATTAAATCCCTAGAATCCCGAGCACACTACTCCCAATTTCCTTATAAACCCTAGCAGCCCCCATTTTGCCCCCCCAAAACCCACTCCCAAATCTTCAATTGCTACCCGTTTCCCCATTTGCCCTACAAAAACAGCGAACGTTAATCCGCAAGGATGTTGGAGCTGAGGCTCGTGCAGGGGAGCCTGCTGAAGAAGGTTCTGGAAGCAATTAAGGATCTGGTGAACGATGCCAATTTCGACTGCTCGGCCACCGGATTCTCCCTCCAGGCCATGGACTCCAGCCACGTGGCGCTGGTGGCGCTGCTGCTCAGATCTGAGGGCTTCGAGCACTACAGGTGCGACCGCAACCTGTCCATGGGAATGAACCTCGGCAACATGGCCAAGATGCTCAAGTGTGCTGGAAATGATGACATCATCACCATCAAGGCGGATGATGGGAGCGACACGGTCACCTTCATGTTCGAGAGCCCCAGTATGTTGAGATGCTTTTGTCCTTTTGTGCTCAAATTTGTTTTTAGTAGTCTCTGGCTTTATTATGCGTGTGGCTAATTGTTCTGTTCTTGTTTGTTGTGGTGAAATTACCCGTTCTAAAAGGATCTTTGCATAATTGCATGCATATTTTCAATTGGTTTCATACTGATATGTCCTTTTGATTTTTTTATACTAGCGGGAAAGATATGGTTCCGCACTGGTGAGATTGCCTTTTGAATTTTCAGCTTTCTGTTCGTTTTTACCGAGAGCTGATGATTTTATGATGTTTTGCTTGGGGACCAGCCTTAATTTTTTATTTTCAAGAAAATTAATTGGGATTCTGCTATTCTTGAAAAAGAAATTCTATAGTCATTCTAGTCATTAGTTGTTTGAGCTGGGGGTTTACAATTTCTGAAAAGAAAAATGTTATAAATTTAATTGAGATCATGAAAATTTATTGGAACCTTATCAGGTTGAAGATGTTTGTGGTGCTTGTTATTTTTAGTGGACTGACCCCTTATAATTTATAGAACCTAGATTTTAACTTCTTACAAGTGCTGTTATATGGTTTATGAAATTGTAATCATTTTGTTGATGAGTTCCAATTTGTCTGATGACTCAATTTGGTTATATATTTAATGGTAAGAATAGTTGTAAAAAATGAAATGGGACTTCATATGGAGTCTAATTATTGTATTAATTTGATGAATGATGATTTGTTTTATAGTAATTACAAAGTTCCCTGTCTAGTTCTTCTTAGGCGGTGCCAAGTACTACATAGTGTTTGTCACCATCCAAAAAATTGAGCACTGTAATTTTCCACGTTACATAGTTTGTCAAAAGCAGTAGTGCAACAATCACTAATGTTGTTGAAAATTGATGGCCGGCGTGAAGGTTCTATTTTTTCAACTTCTCTATCTATTGCATTGTATGATTGTTCACCTGATTTAATATTTCTAACATGAGCACTTTGTGATTTAGTTTTCATTATTTTGCATGCTAATCATTTTGAATTATCTGTTGTAGCTCAAGATAAGATTGCAGATTTTGAAATGAAGCTCATGGATATTGATAGTGAGCATCTTGGAATCCCTGAAGCTGAGTATCACGCCATAGTTAGGATGCCATCTGCTGAATTTGCAAGAATTTGTAAAGATCTGAGCAGTATTGGTGACACGGGTAATGCCTAATTAATATCCAGTGCATTTAAAAAGGTTCAATCTGCTTCTTCTTGTTGAATGTTGATTTCTTGACTCCCGTTTGGTTCTATTGGATATTGCAGTTGTGATCTCTGTAACTAAGGAAGGTGTAAAATTCTCAACAAGAGGTGATATTGGAACAGCTAACGTTGTTTGCAGACAAAATACTACAGTAGACAAGGTTGTTCTTGTGGCCTTTGTAATGCTAGTCTATAAAAAATCTTGGTCACAATAAAATATTGAAATCTGTTTCCACTAAACAAATTGCTCAATTGATAGTGTCTAGGTTTATTTTTCACATTAAAAGATGATTTGATCCCTTTTTAGTAAATAATGGAAACTTGTTTGTTTTTGTAATTTCTGTTATATTTTCTCATTATTCCGTATGAATCTTTTGTTTGCAGCCTGAAGATGCTACGGTTATAGAGATGAATGAGCCCGTGTCTCTGACTTTTGCTCTAAGGTACTTGAATTCTTTCACAAAGGCAACTCCCTTGTCTAACACGGTTACAATTAGCTTGTCCTCCGAGCTTCCAGTTGTGGTTGAGTATAAGATTGCAGAAATGGGCTATATAAGGTTCTATTTGGCACCCAAGATTGAGGAGGATGATGAAGAAACAAAGGGATAATTTATTGATTTGCGCTTGTTGGGGAAATCTTGTTTGCTAGCTCGAGCCTAGTAGTAGTTGGTGTAGTTGAGGATTATAAGTTGGTATTACTGAGCTAGTTTCAATTGGTATCATTCATAGGTGTGGTTAATTTGATAAATGTTACTCGATTACAGTTCTAATCGATGTTCAAAGGTAAGTTTAGGTCCCATATTTTCTAGATGTAGGTATCTTTCAATTAATTACATTAATGCGTTGAATAAGCATCAAGTGAATGACAACTATTCATCAACTAATTGAAGTAGGGAAATGGATACTCTATGAAAAATAGGATGGATATTATTTTTAATTTTATCTCTTTTTCTCTTTTAACTTCACATAAATAGTGTGTTCGGTAAACATTATAAGTTAGTTTATAGCTTGGTCGGCTAGATGAGTTTTTTTAAAAAGTTCAAACTTATTTTATAAACTTTCTTGGGTAGCTTTTTCAACAAGTTCGTTGAAATTTTATGTTGATTAGCGTATTAGTTAATTTTATTAAACACGTTTATCAAGTAAGTTAATTTTTCAGTCATAAGTCAATTATCAGCTTTAAGCTTGAGATTCATTTATCAACTATCAATTTAAAAAAAGTTAAAATGTAGATGATCCATTCTCTTAAAGTAGATATATGTAATTGTTGTATAAGATATATGTAATTGTTGTATATCAAATGGATAACTCATATATCACCTCATTAAATTGGCATTGGTCATCCCCAATGGATTGGAGTTTATGTTGGGAGATGAAATGTGGGAAGTTTGAATTTCTAATTTTCTATAGATGTTTTGTAGGCTACTTTATTTAGAATAATAATTTTATGGACTTTTGAAGGGGTGGGCAAAATGTATGTTTATGATATTCACATTGAAAGAATTTTCACTTACTAAAGCTATTGGTATTTAACTATGTATACGATCTTGGTTTTTGCTTTAGTGAACCATTGATTTACCATACAACTTTATATGCTTCATGACTATTGTTACATTAATAATATGATACAGTGTAGTATGAATACTAGATTTCAAATTTAAAAAATACAAGTAAGATTTTATACAAAACGGTCAAATTATTGATACACATAACTATTATATATTTTTAGTAAATAATGCAGTGTACTATCTGAAAGAGTATTGTTTTTGGCATGAGTTCAAAAATCAATATACTGAAGATATGTTCCTACAAGCACAAGGAATTTATATAAGGGAAGTTCATTTGTTTACTTATATATGTGCGGATTTTCTAGTTAAATATGTATTGAGTTAAATAATCTTATTATGGTATTTTTATTGTAGGGGTGCGGTTAAATGAAAGGCACATACATGAGATCTTGAAAAATCAAGAGGAGATTGGATAACTAAGGAAAGGGAATATTTGGAGAGAGAAGAAGAGTCCTAAAGCTAAAAGACTATCTTGGATAAACTTGGAAGGCAATCAAGAACTTGAAGAAGACTCTACGTGAAGGAAATCATATAAATACCTACCTTGAAGATTGAAGTAGGGTGGTCGAAACTTATCACTCACTGTCGCTGCCTTCAAGCTTCAAGTGTTTTAAGGCTTACATTTTTATTTTCGGTTCAGTTCTTTTGTATACTTAGGTTATAGAAGAACGGAGATCATTTCTTATTGTATTCTTTTCTTCGTTTCTTTTGTAAACATTAGTCATCTACACTTAGGGAGTAAGTGTGAGGAAATAAGTCCACGGGACGTGGCCGGAGAAGTAGTTGATAGGATTGTTCGTTGTTGTGGCTAGCCTAGAAGGGAGTTCTAGTAGTTATAAGTCCAAACAATGTTCAAAGATGTTATCAATGAAAGAACTCTGAAAGGAAGTGGAATGCTTCCCTAAAGAGTTTTTAAAACTTTGGTTTATTGCTTCCGCTATTTATAATTCTTATTATTGTTCGTACAACGTTGAGCGCACTCGCGATAAATTTATACGTTTCACCCTTAATTATATTCTTTAAATAATATGCGATGTACTTGAAAAATTATTATTAATGATATCTCTTACGTAAACATTGTTTTCAAAAAGTATAAATTTAGTCAATCCTTAAAATAAATTTTGACTAAAAATAAATTTGTGAGAGTTAAATATATTAACTAAATTGTGATGAAAACCATACTTTAACCAGCACATGTTTAATAGTAATTTTCAAAAGATTGAACTTGAATCTATTAGGGGTGTTCACGGTCCGGATTGGTCCGGTTTTAGCCCAAACCATGACCAAACCGGACCTAACGGTTAATTTTTTTTCTTGTCCATAACCGGACCGGTTTTATTTTTTAACCGACCACAATCCGGACCGCATTGGACGGTCCGGTTTGACGGTTAACCGGTTAAATCCAAAAACTTGTTTTGGGCCTTCAATTTTTATTTTTTTCATTTTGGGCTTAATTTTTGTTTTTCAATTTTGGGTCCTAAAGAGATTATTTGGGCTTAAAAATTAAGAAAAACAACAATAATGAATAAAAAGTACACAATTCGTCTCATAAGCATAAAAATGCACATTTCATCCCATAAACATAAAAATACAAAAATGATGAAGATTAATTATGCAAACTGAACTCAAGCAAACATTTATTTTTCAGTCAGTTTATACACCTGAAATAATAAGAGCAAAGCATTCATAGTGAATGTATTGTATTTGTCGGCTATAGTGAATGACTGAATGTATATATATATTTGTTATAGTTTTTTAATATTTACCAATCCGGTCCGGTTAAACCGGCGGTTTGCCGCAGGTAATCCGTTAACCCGATCGGTTATTCCGGATTTTTAAAAAAATTAACCACCGAATTTTTTAAGATTTTTTTAACTGACCATTAACGGATCCGTGGTCCGGATTGACGGTTTTTTCCGATTAAAACCGGACCGTGAACACCCCTAGAATCTATCACATGGGTCTAAGGCCCAGATATCTAGAGTTTTTAGCCACATTCATGCCCTGGAAGATTTGACAGATATGGGACTGCACATTATCAGGTGTGTTAGCTGAAAAGAAAATATTAGACTTATGAAAATTTACTGCTTGTCCAGAGACAGAGCAGTAAGAATGGAGAATTTTCAGCAAAAGGGAGGCATGATAATTATCAGCCTGACAAAACACAAGGGAATCATCTGCAAAAAATAAATGAGAAATAGTGGGAGAATGTTTACTGATTTTTATGCCTTTAAAGGCATGAGAAGAGCAGGCTTGCTTGATAAGATTTGAAAATGCTTCTGTGACAAGAATGAAAAGGTAAGGAGATAGGGGATCTCCTTGCCTTAGACCTCTAGAAGGTATAACATTTCCTAAAGGCTGCCCTCCAAAATTAAAAGAGAATGAGGAAGAACTAATGCAAGACCAGATCCAGCCCAAAAATTTATTACAAAAACCCAGCTTCCTACAAATCTGGATGACAAAACACCATTCCACCCTATCAAAGGCTTTTGCCATGTCTAATTTGAGAGCCATGAATCTTTTTTTACCTCTTTTTTTGCTTTTGAGAAAGTGAAGACACTCATGGGCTATGATAATATTATCTACAATTTGCCTATCAGGCACAAAAGCAGTCTGGGATTGGGAAATGCAGAATTTAATGACAGATTTGATTCTGAGGGCAAGGATTTTGGCTATAATTCTATAAGATATTGTACATAGGCTGATAGGCCTATAAGAAGAAATATATTTGGGATTTTTGATTTTAGGAATAAGGGTTTGTTAGTGTTATATACTGAAAGCTTGGCTTTGCATGTTATTACACATTTACCCTTTATGAATGAGAATCATGTTAGATTAAACAAGTTCTACGTTCTGTTGTTTTGCACTTAGATAGGGTGGGTCGTCATCGGGCGAACCGAAGATCACTCTATCAGTCACTTGCGAACAAGAATAGTTGTTCACAACCTAGATGGACATGAACACCCCATCCGAACGGTTGTAGTGTCAACTGTACAGTTTGTCTTGACTGATTAGTTGCACTAGTACATTTATGTATTGAACAGGATCCCAGAGAGGAGAAGTTCATTTTATACTGATCGTCGTAAATGAACTAGGCCTCGGTTAATTACTGCGTTCTCTTAACCCGTAAGATATTAAACAGGCAGATATATATAATATATATTACTTTGATTCACATGGGTGAGGTTCAGTTCGCTGGATTAATATTCCTACTGTTTTGGGTAATATTATTATATATAGGATGTGCTGTTAGGATATTTACGGTCACCATGTGCGTTAGTTTGATGATGTCCCCGGAGTGAGTTCATGAAGGATTGTTATGCTAAACCCTGCAGGTGGATTAAATTCCGGCATAATAAGAATGTGATGAACGAGCGCTAGCTTCGGTGAAATAATAATAAATTAATTAATTCTTGATTGTCAGTAATCGAATTAATTAATGGACATTATATCTTAAACGTGGGGAGGTAAATCGAGTAATTATTATTGGAGTCTCAAATGTAATTTGGGCTAGGGAAAGGGAGTGCAATAATATAATGTTGGTGGCCCATTAATATTATTTAATTAATTAGAGGAGTGGGTTTGGCCCACAGTTAGTCTAATTAATTAAGGAGCCCTTTTCCTAATCTCCTTAGGGTCCCTACTGTAGCTCTATATATACATCATTAAGCTCATGAGAAGAGAATAGAATTCATTCTCACGTGAAACACGCCTCTCTCTCTAGATCTCATTCGAGCTTTATCTTCTTCTTGTTGCTCCACTGGTACAAGTTGAAGAAGGGTGTATTGAGTAATACAGTAGAAGATCTGTAGGTAAACCGAGACGAAATTGATTTTGACCTACAGAACTAACCGGAAGTCCGATTGAGACGTACAGTATACCCAGACGACCGTCTCGACGAGAGCTTTCCATCGCCGCCGACGTCGCCGGAATCCGACGCCGCACGCGCCCTCACGCGCCGCCGGAAGGTGTCTGGCAGCAAAATTTCGTTTTGATCTGTTTGCATCCGTTTGATCCAGTTTTGATCTGATCTTGTTCGTGCAACCCAAGACGCGTGTTGCGGTCAATCAATTGCGGTCAACCGTTCGTGGTCAACCAGATCTACATAAATTTTAAGCCGTAAGTTCTCTACGTCAAACCTTTAGATCCGCTGCGCATAGGTTTACGTTTGCTATTGAATTCGTGATTTGTACATAACG